TAATGTGTATATATGTAGTTTCTAGTTTATTTTTTTAGCGAAGTATTTAATGTGTATATATGTGGTTTCAGTTATTTTTTTAGCGAAGTATTTAATGTGTATATCTGTAATTTCAGTTATTTTTTTAGCGAAGTATTTAATGTGTATATCTGTAATTTCAGTTATTTTTTTAGCAAAGTATTTAATGTGTATATATGTAGTTTCAGTTATTTTTTTAGCGAAGTATTTAATGTGTATATATGTAATTTCAGTTATTTTTTTAGCAAAGTATTTAATGTGTATATATGTGGTTTCAGTTATTTTTTGTACTAATTGTTTAATCTGTCACAATGTGGTGAAATAATTAAAAACTACATTAGAAAGTTCTACGTTTGCAAGTGAATGCAATAAGTCTATCTTCATTCGTCTTATTTAATAAAATCCTCACACTACAGTATATTTCTGGAGAGATTTGTAGTCAAAGTAAGGAAAAGGAGCATAAACTACAACACATGTCAACTTGAAGGTAATTTTTGGGCAAATACTAGACACCCTTCCACATAGTTATGTAATTTCATGCAATTTGTGCTTCAAAACATTAATAATAACCCTTTGTAACGTTTACATATGCATACAACATCTAGGTTTAGAGCTCCCTATTACTTACATTGTGAATTTTTTATCCTTTGGCCTTGCAAAATGAAAAAAAAAAGGCACAAATCCCAAATATTTCTGCTTTGGGGGTTTTCTCAAAATATATCGTGTGAAGTCTCATCTAGATCGGTCGAAATATAAATGAATAGCAGGTTAAAAACCCCATCTCTTCGAAATATATTTACCTTTGACCCATGCGAAAGGCACGAAGCTCAAATAAGTCTGCTTCAATTTATGGGCTTTTCGGTAAGGTATTTTTGTGTAAAATCTCATTTGGATTGGTTGAATTATAAAGGAAGATCAAGCCAAAAAATCAAAATTTTGCGATATTGTTTTACCTTTGACCCGTGTAAAATAAAATAAAAAAGAGTGTAAACTTACACTTGTCTGCTCCCATCTGTGAGAGTTGTCGCAATATACCTTTGTGCCAAGTCTCATTTGGATTGATGGATATTTAAGGGAACTGTAAACAAAAAAGATGCGTTTCTTTAATGTTTTACCTTAGACTCCCTAAAATGGAACGGCAGGGGGGGGCTAAATAAAAAAAAACTTAAAAACGTTCTTAGTGTATTGGACGCCATTTCAAGATGATCAAGCCAGAAATGAAAGTGTGACGTACGATTGTAGTTATTTTAAAGGAGCAGCAGAAATAAACACATGAAATACATTAAGTTATCCTCCTTACTGAGGAGACATAAAAGATCAAACTGCATAAAATATTCGGATAACAATTTTGTATTCCGTTAAACTTAAAAGTATTATTTCTTTCCTCACGACAGGTGTCGCTGAGAATGAATGGTTACAAAGCCGCAGTAATTCATCCAGGTTTTCTTAGAAATGTCTGATTAAAAGCAGAGTAAACAAAACCATCTATATGGAACTCTAGCAAAATTATGTAAAACGATATTTTAACTTTTTTATTCCTGATAACCACCTACCATTACGTCATGTAAAGCAAGGTCAAGTTACATATGAACATATAACGTGCCCATTCTATCAGGTAGTGAAACCTCAACAGATATTCCGAGAAATGCTATATTGTTGCTATATTTCCACTAACAGCCATATTGCTGGATATGGGATATGTATATATATCCCTATAATAGTACCATACTTATTTTGTATCGTTTTAATTTTTCAACAAAATCCGTTTTTTTTTTTCATTTTTGTCAGCACGTAACTTACACCAACAATTTTGTTTTGCATCCAACGTGATTCATTTAGTAAAGAACAGCGCTTAAAAGAAGCACATGTTAAGAATAATACTGCATAATATGTAATGGATTTTTTTGGGGGGGTTATGACCCGGAACCATGTCACCACTTGGTATATTTCAGACGCTAATAGCCCCCCAGTGGCACAGCTGTATGTCTGCGGACTTACAACACTAGAAACTGGGTTTCGATACTCGCGGTGGGCAGAGCACAGATAGCCCATTGTATAGCTTTGTGCTTAAATACAAAGAAACAAACATACACCAATAAAGATGAATAAACTCTTGAGCTTGACGCGTACATGTTACAGAATTGTTCTAACTTAAAAACGCAAAAACTGTAGCGGTAGGCCTACCACATGCACAGTTAGTAAAAGAATATCTTGCAGAATGTTTTGTTTTGTTAAGAAACAAAAACAAAAAAAACGTACGAAGACAAAAACATTCTCCCTCGTTTCTTAACACGCACCATTACACCTAGAAATAGGATGTACAAGGGACGTGTAAAAAAAAGGAAAAAGGGACGAACTTTAAGGAAATCCTTGTTTTCGCGATGATAAAGGTGCATTGTCATCGCCTAACACTAGCCATACAGGAGTGGGCGTTTTCTATCTTAACAATTCTGGGGGGTAACTGAAAAATTAAGAGAGAGAGAGACGTTTTATTTTAGTTTTATGATGCGCCACTAGGTGGCGAACATAATTTTTTGTGTTAATTGTCATTTATTATGCTCCTTTCTTATCCACATTATCGTTGACTTTTTGGCTGGTTTTCTTGAAAAGCAAAGCTGATATAGCCCTTATTGATAAATCTATGAAAAATAAATGGCGTTGGAAGTGGGTGCGAAGAAAGAGATCCTTTAAATAGGATGTATGGAAAGTGGGTGCGGAAAATTGCCATTCCAAGACTGTGTTTTTGTGTTGTTTGTAACCGCTGTCTGAATTATGGACGCAAAGGCAAAAGGTCCTTTGTAATCACCATACGAAAATCGCACAGCATATCAAATTATTCTTAACACAGCTAAGTAACCAATCCCTTGCAGGCACCGAGCCAATTCTGGAGAGGATAAGCACGACAGATCGAAAAGCAGACCTCAATGTGTGCGTTTGTTAGTGAGCACTGTTTACCATTCGCCGTGATTCTGTATCTATTTGATTTCTGCGAGAGAATTGTTTAAGACTAAGAAGCACTTAGTAAACCACATGTGTCAAGGAGTTTTTAGCTTTGATTTGAAGACAACACAAGCAGAAAGCTTTTACATATAGTTTTTTTATTGTTATTGTCGTTTGGGGAGTTTTAGAAATGTACATAAAATTTGCACTTTTTGTAAAATTAGAAGTTTTTCTTTTGTTTGTAATTAAGCACAAAGCTACACAAAGGGCTATCTGTGCTCTAACCACCACGGGTATAGAAACCCGGATTCTAGCGTTGTAAGTCCGCAGACATACCGCTGTGCTACTGGGGGGCTTTTCTTTTGTATTTGTAGTGTAAACGTGCAACCGTAAGTACAGACTTATCAAGAACTTTGAGGTGGTGTGCAGAAAACGGAGGAGAGGATCTTTGACTTATTTTAATCCATATCATAAACTACTAACTTAACAAAACATGTCTAAAGGATAATGGGTCATCACACTTATAATTCACACACAGTACCTTATTACACCTCATGTAAATACGAAAGTAACGTATCCAAATCAAAAGGTCAGTACAGTTTTTAGTTCACAGCCCCATTTATGTTACGTTGACAAGTGTCGGAACATCGTTTATTTGATGATATGTCATCTTTAAACGTCATGTTGACTCGAAAGTTTCTAAACATAGAAAAGTCATTAAACATCGAAACGCAAACAATGTCACGCCAGATATTCTGGCTATCAAATGGATTGGAAATCAACAAGAATTTTACAGAAAATGGATAACCACTTAAAAAGAAGAATCAAAGAAAGTTGAGTAATCAAAAGTCTGCATAATGTCAACACTTCCGAGGTCACTTGAAGCTAACGACCTCTCTGACATCCTGTGTCCTTAAGAGAATCCAAAGTTCCTGGTTCACGTAGGCATTGTTGACCAGATTTGTCCCGAAGACAACGTGAGACAGAAGATGACACATGAATATATCGAAATGCGCAAAGCTACACGAGGGCTATCTGCGCTAGCCGTCCCTAATTTAGCAGTGTAAGACTAGAGGAAAGGCAGCTAGTCATCACCACCCACCGCCAACTCTTGGGCTGCTCTTTTACCAACGAATAGTGGGATTGACCGTCGCATTATAACGCCCTCACGGCTGAAAGGGCGAGCATGTTTGGTGTGACGGGGATTCGAACCTGCGACCCTCAGATTGCGAGTCGAGCGCCCTAACCACCTTTGTTTTTGAATTTCCAAACAAACAAACAGTACAAATCGAGTGTTTGCGGCAACGGGACGCAAACCAGAACCCTTGGATCCCCAGTACAAGTATGCTTACCATTAGGCCATAACATTTCCCAAAATAATGAAAAATCGAGGAAATTAAAAAGTGTGTTGCAATTATTGCGCCAAAAAAATATTAAATTGAATGTGTTTCAGTGTGTTTGCCTTTTTTTGATTTTTTTTCAAAACAATTCTTCTATCTGAATTTCTGTTTGAACCTCGTATCGCGACACAAATCAAATAAAGCTTGTGATGGAAACAATTAACATATCAAAAAATATTAAAGCAAATATAATACTCTTAATACCCTGTGTATTGAAAATAAACAATTTCTGGTGGCGCCAAACGAGTTTTTCCAAAGTACTACTTAAATGGGATTTAAAAAATATGCGCCATCCTATCATAAAATATGGAACTGTGTACAAATGTGTGCATATGAAACAGATTTTTGTTTGATATTATACATCAAGAACCCTCCAACATCTACTTTATAAAAATCCGATAAAAAAAACTTCCTGAATGAGAGTGAAAAAAGCTAATAGAAACATTAATTTTGCTATTCCAGGTCACATTTAAATAAGTCAGTAGTATGATTTTATTGCATGTTTATTAGGCTTTGAGAAAAACAAACGCTCAATTGCAAAAAAAAAATAATAACGATCTGATTTCGAATTATCTGGCCTTGCATGACTTGGTGGTTAGGGCGCTCGACTCACGGGTTAGAATCACATCCCTAAACATTTCCGCTCTTTCATCTGTGGGGACGTTATAAGTTACGGTCAATCCCTCCATTCGTAGGTAAAGAGTAGTCTAAAAGTTGGCACTGGGTGGTATTAACTAGCTGCTTTACCTCTAGCCTAATACTTCAAAATTAGGGATGGCTAGCGCAGATAGCCCTTGAGTAATTCTGTGCGAAATTCAAAATAAATAAATCGAACAGTTTAATGAAGTTAGTCAACAGAATTTCATCTGTATGCACAATCGGCTCAGTGTATTATAAAGAATATTAATAAGGTATCGCATTCCTCAGATATGATTTAAAAAGAGACGAGAAATAAGGCGAAATTCTGTAAAAATAAAGTGAAAAAATACACTTATGTTTTTGGAATACATTTGGAAAAGTTAACCCACTTATGGATGTTTTTCTGTATTTCGAACAATGATAGATACTTAACTATAACGCAGATTCTCAATGAGCATTACTATCGTTTGTTAGTTATATTTCAAATTAAATATAAAACATCAGTTAGCACGCTCACGTTCTCATGAAATACAAAATGAGCCAACACTTTAATATTAACTAAAAACGAGTAGGAATACTTTTTTCTGTCCTCTAGAGAAAGGGAACATAGAAAACTAGTTGTCTGATATAGACGATAAGGCCGATAACAAATGCCAAATTGATAACAATATTTAAAACTGATAATTCATAAAAAAATAGGGTAAAATCAAAGATGTTTTGATAAATAATTATTAAATGAATAGATGTGATAAATTAGTAAATTTAGGCTGTCTTTTGCTCATTTTAGACAAAAAAAATTATATTCGGATCGCCATATTTTCGTCACAGATTGTCATTTTTTTCTGTGTAAAAGGTTTTTAAAAATTATTGAGTTACAGTTGATATACGCTATGTATATTTTAATTCAATGATTCGATCTACGAATTTATTTGATTTGATCATATCCTTTAAAATGTGTAAAATATATTGATTATTTTAAGTATTTGTGGTAAATCTACCAAGGTTATTAGCACACGTACTTAATTTTGAACTACTGAACAGAGGGGACAGCAGCCAGTCAACAGTATTATTCTACCCACAATAAACGCTAAAGAATTGACTGTCATTCATATAACACACATACAGCTTAAAGTGCAAAAATTTTGTGTGGTATCATAGGGATTCGAACTTGTCATCTCCCTAATCAAAGCTCTACCACAGAGCCAACACGCACCCCACGCAAGTTAAGTATGTAAGAACAAAAGTTATAAATAAGACCTTTTATATAGCTATATTTTTCACGGAAAATATTATAAAATACTCTTTTTACACACAAATAAACTCTAGCTAGAATTCTACACCATGTATATGATGTTTATTTACAGCGAATATACTTTCATGTAAATCCAAGGAAAGCAGATGATTTATAGCTTGAGCGACGTTTTGTAGGCTTTTCAATTCTGTTTTTGTGAAACCATAAGAATTACTTACTTCTGCTTGAAACGATCTTGGTGACCATGGGAAGAAACAAAAGATCTCGACTGGATATTTCTTAATGATCGGTTACTAGATGAAGTTGAGAAATTACTACCCGACGAAGTCTGACTGTCTTGTCTATAACCCCCAAAGTCCTGAGAAGGAAAAAGAATAAGAAAAATAGAATAAATCTGTCTATTACTGTTAACATGTTACATTATTTATATGAGACGAAAATAATTCCATAACAAATCTAGCTTTCATATTTCTTCCAAAAAGTTTTGTTGTTTTTTCATATTAAAAATCTATTTCAGACTACGCTCTCTGCTGTACAAAGCTTACATCTTTCTTCCAGAAATGTTCTGTTTTTTCATATTATATATCTTTTTCAGACAACGCTCTCTGCTGTACAAAGCTTACATCATTCTTCCAGAAATGTTTTGTTGTTTTTTTCATATTACAAATCTTTTTCAGACAACGCTCTCTGCTGTACAAAGCTTACATCTTTCTTCCAGAAAAGTTTTTTTTTCATATTGCAAATGTCCTGTTTTAGAACCACACACTCTGCTATTATATCATTATTGTATGTTACAGCTGTTAGAGCATTTTAATGTTTGTTTGTTTTGAATTTCGCGCAAAGCTACACGAGGGCTATTTGCGCTAGCCGTCCCTAATTTAGCAGTGTAAGACTAGAGTGAAGTCAGCTAGTCATCACCACCCACCGCCAACTCTTGGGCTACTCTTTTACCAACGAATAATGGGATTGATTGTCACATTATAACGCCCTCACGGCTGAAATGGCGAGGATGTTTGGTGTGACGGGGATTCGAGCCCGCGACCCTCGGGTTGCGAGTCGAGCGCTCTAACCACTTGGCCATGCCGGCCTACCATTCTAATGAGAGACGTATATGTGTGGAGCTTTGATATAATATGTGCGAAACAGAAAATTATACTGTAACACTTCAAAATGCTCATAAACTCATAATAATAATTAACCAACTTTCTTAGAATGAAATTAATTTCTTCCACTTACTAAAATCCGCTTCGAAAAGCATTGCTTATCTTGAGCAATTGTTAAAATTTGATTATTGGAAATTTCACTCGATATTCTGAGATGCTAACGGAAGCGGAACACTTTGAATAACTGATCTGAAGAACTTATTTTTATCCTACAATATTAACGAAACTGAAGCACGCGATAAGAGACTTGAATATCATTTGTCAGTCACAAGAAGGCTTATGTAATGTTACCAAAAACTATATTTTAGTATTAACTTAAATACATTAGGCTCTCCTAAAACTATACTTATGTTTAATATAGCAGGTCTATGACAAACACACGTACATGGGAGATTAATTTTATCCATTGTGACGGATTTGTTGTTATATATTTATTTTGGTATCGACGTTTGCTTAGAAACATACATAGCTTATAATGTTAAATATGCATTGCGAAACTTGCGCCTATTCTCCAAAGTTGTAAAAGATTTTCGAGAGTAAAAATCAACAATGTATGTATGTAGGTAAGCGCTTAAATGTAGCTTTGTATTGTTATGTAATCTGAATTTTCGAGAAAGCCTCCACATGCCCATAAATATAACCAACGCGCCGCGCCAAAATAAAG